AGACACTTAGAGTAGTTTAGAACTTTATTTTTCCTTTGGCCATACTATTAAGGGGGTATGGACGGGTAGCTTGACCTAGGTGAGTCTAGTGAGTTTGGTGTGGTGCACACTTGCTAAATCTAGCACTAGATAGCTCCAAAATAGCCCTTAGATCCAATGGAGCAAACTTCATTCACATATGATCGAGAGTTGGAAGTGAATGGAGGGTCAAATACTGACCGGACGCTGGCTCAGAGTCCGGTCAGTTCATTTGACCAAGGTGATTTCGTCTGGTGCGACCAGACGCTGAGAGGTGAAGTGACCGGACGCTGAGGGCCAGCGTCCGGTCGACTCCAGTAAGGTTCTAGAGAGGGAAAATCACGACCGGACGCTGTTCAGCGTCCGGTCACACTTTAAACACTGGAGTTCAGGGTGAACTAACCGGAGCATCTGGTCAACATGACCGGAGCGTCCGGTCACCCCGTAGAGGCACATAACAGTTCGTTTTTTAGCCGGTGTTATAAATACCACCTCCATTCGTGTGTGGGGGTACTTTTGCTCATTCCAACAGTTGAGAAACACCTTTGAGAGTGCTAAGAAGAGCAAGGTCCTAGTGAGGTGATTGAGATTTGAGAATCCCAAAGAGAGCCCTCATTAGTGAGATCAAGAGTAGCAAAGTGTGCATCCACCCTTCTCATTAGGCTTGTCGTGGTCAAGTGAGAGTCCGTGCTTGTTACTCTTGGTGATCGCCATCACCTAGATGGCTTGGTGGTGATTGGGAGCTTGGTGATCATCCGGAGAGCATGTGGATGACCCAACTCAAGTTGTGAGCGGTTGTGGGTGATTCACCGCGACGGAGTGTCGAAGAATCAACCCGTAGAGAGCACTTGATCCTTGCGCGGATCAAGTGGGAGCTACACCCTTGTGCGGGTGCTCCAACGAGGACTAGTGGGGAGTGGTGACTCTCCGATACCTCGGCAAAACATCGCCACGTTCCTCCTTCTCTCTTTACTTTGAGCAATTCAATTATTGTCACTTACATTCATAGAATTGCCATGCTAGAGTAGGATTGGAACTTAGGTTGCTAAACTTTTGTGCATTAGATCAATAGAAATACTTTCTAGGCACAAGGGGTTAATTGGGCTAACCGTAGGATTTATTTATTGCAAAGAAATTTAGAATTAGCCCAATTCACCCCCCCCCCTCTTGGGCATCTTGATCCTTTCAAGGGGTTTGGTCCAGCCTGATGGGTCGAACCTGTGCTAAGATCAGAGACGGATGAGCGGAGCTTGAGCTCATGGGCCCCTTGGCCTAAGCGATGCCCCATCTACCTTCGGCCGCTGGCGTTGGACCCGACGTGATTTGATGGGCTTGTCGTTTTAGGGTTCGGCTGCGTGTTAAGCGCGTGTGAAAACGTGTTTCCGCGTATTTTGGTGCGTCATTCCTCGATTTTTGGGATCACGCCAGGTTTGGTGGACGCGTGGTGGGGAGTTCGGGCCTATAAATAGGAGTGCTAGGTGGCATGCATTATCTCCTGGTTCAGTTGCTGTTGATTGTTGCGGCTGCTGTGGGATCTTGTGCGAGGGTTTTCGTTGAGTGGAGGTTTGGTGCTGGACGAGGGTTGCTGTTGGCGAAGGTTTTCGTATCTGGCGATTAGATCTGTTGGACTTGGTTCGGATTGCTTGCTGGTGAGTTGTTTTGCTCGTTGCATGTTTGTTCGAGGGCGTGGCTGTTGTTTTGTGGGCTAAACGGATATCTTGCCTTCGCCGTTCTCTATTTTTTGTTGTAGTGATGGCTCGTACTAAGCAGACCATGAAGGTGGTCGAGGGTTCGGAGAGTGTGTCCAAGCCAAAGGTTGAATCTTTTGACTTTGGGGCCTTGCTTGTTACTGAGAAGGATCTGGAGACATACGCGAAGCGGAAGTAGTTTGTGAAGGGTGATGTGAGGGCACCTAGGAATGAGACTGTGCCGCAGCCGCATGATGACGAGGTTGTTGTGTTTCGGGAGTTTTCCTATGCTGGCTTGAGGTTTCCTGTTATTCACTTTGTATTCGAAGTCATGAGGAGGTTTGAGTTGAAGTTTCACCGGCTAACGCCTTCTTGCTTTACGAGGCTGTCGGCGTTTGTGTGCGCGTGCAGATCTCAGGGGGTCGAGGATGATGAGGATGCGTTCTTGCATACGCATAGAAAATTGTGGGCAAGGATGTGGTTTCGGTCTGTCGGTTTGGTGTGTACACATTCTTTTACCGATCTGGTGTGAATCTGCCTGCGCAGGCTCAGAAGAACAACTGGTCCTCGTCCTAGCTTAAGTATTGTTTTTACTACAAACTTGGAGCTGGTGAGGGTGTTCATGCTAAGTTTTGCGGAGACCTAACTTTGCCTTGTAGCAAGACTGCTGAAGGGGCTGCAACGGAGGTTGCTTGTGGAGTTATTGAGGCGTTGCGGCTACTAGGCCATCACTTGTGTGCACGGGGTCTCTTTGAAGAGATGATGTGCATGAGGGTTGTTCTACTTTGTGCAAACGAGGATGGTTCGCTGTCTAAGCTGAGAAATATGAGGGAAAGGGGTTGAAGTGTCAGATAGTAGATGTGGAGTCCCGCTGGTCTCGGGTGATGAACAAGGCTGCAAACTGGGATGAATGTGTGGCCCAGGTTTACGAGGATGTCCAGCACTCATTGCAGGATATAGTTGGGGATCTGGGCACCATGGAGATCCGCTAGATCCATGCCGCTCTGGGCGATCATCATCGATTTAACCGTCTTTTCGACCTCCTTAGGGTTGTGCACCCGGATGGTGCCGTAGCCGCTGCTGGGGCTGGAAAAGCGGCGCATCCAAGAAGAGGAAGAAAGGGGAGGGATCCGAGAACGGGACTGCCGAGGCGGGAAGTGCGGTGGTCAGGGGCTTGGCAAGTCGAAGGTTCGTCGTGACGGGCGGCCTGTTGCAGTGAAGAGGCCCGCGTCAAGAGCTGAGGCCAGCAGTTCCGTTGCTTCTGATGTTGGGGTAGAGCGCCTAGCGAAGTAGCTCGTGTCGCCATGAGTTCTCTCGCAGTCATGGGTGCGGACGACAGTGTGAAAATGGTAGGCCTTTGATCTATGTTCATTCAGTTGGATTCTGAGGAAGAGGACGAAGGTAGCATTGGTGTCGAGAAGGCGGGTGAGAAAGCTCCAACTCGGGAGGCTTCTGTTGATATGGGTGAGGAGTCGGATCGGAGCTCCAGTGACGGAGAAAGCTCTGCTGATACAAGTGGGTCCTTGGAGGAGGAGGAAGAGGATAACACGACAGTTGATTCTCCAGAGGTACCAGGTGAGGAGGCGGATGCGGCTGAGGAACGTGCCTTCCTAAAGTGGAGGCTATGCTTGTAAGGGAGGATTTTGATGATCTTACTAATGATGCCGAGGTTAGCGCGTTGCCGTCTGTTATGCTCGCCCGTGCGCTGAAGCGAAAAGGTGGGATTATTGAGATTAAACTGCGCGAGCAGTTGTCGCAACAAAAGGAGGCTGTTAAGTCCGAAAAGGCTGTAGTTGTTCGCCTTACGGAGGAGAATGAGCAGCTTAAGAGGAGGCTAGAGGTGGCGGAGAAGGTGGCTAAGAAGGAGGAGGAGGTAGCGCAGAAGAGCCAGGAAGAATAGCAGCAAATCATGAATCGGAACCTGGACCTTGGGTCAGAGTTGAGGGAAATGGAGGAGGCGAAGGTAAAGGCTGAGGGGCAGGTGGCCGAGGAGAAAGATCGGATGATGTTGCGAGGGTGAGTTGAGCCCTGCCGTTGATGTGGTGGGAGGTTCTAGTTTTATTGAAGTTGTTGTCAACTTGGTTGCTGAGGGACTTCTTAACGAAGTGGTGAAGGAGATGATCGAGGAAGCGGCTTTCGATGCCTGCTTTGAAGAGGATGCCCCTAGTGTTTGGGAGTATCGTCGAAGGGCTGTTTAGATTGGCCCAGCGGCTATTTTGTCTTTGCTGGGGTTCTATTGTATGTTGTGTTTTTGTTCTTTGTTTGTTAATGCGTCGATGATGTTGTCGTTTGTGATCACCATTGTATAATGTTGTCGGTGGTTTGTTGTTTGTTGAAATAAAGGCGAGGGTTTGCTGATGTGCCGGAGAGTTTACTTGGTCTTGGCCGATACTTGATTTTGGGGGTGCCTAGTGTTTGATTGACGTGGCATTTCTTTTTATCCTGATGAGGCCTGCTTACACCCCTTTTTCTTATGGCGAGGCTCCATTCATTGGTCAAAATGATTTGGTCGATCTGGTGCCCCATTTTGTTTTAGCGAGGCTCGCCCAATTTTGTTCTAAGGCTTAGTCGAAGCGACGCCCCTTATCTTTAGCGAGGCTCGCTCGATTGCGTTCTAACACTTAGCCAAAGCGGCGCCCCCCCCCCCTTTTCTTTAGCGGCGCTCACTCGAGTGCATTCTAAGACTTAGTCGAAGCGACACCCCTTTTCTTTAGAAAGGCACGCTTGATCTCGTTCTAAGACTTAGTTTGTCTTAATTCAAAACTGCATACACATCTGGATAGGAAGATGACGCTATTAGATATGTATGAACACTATGAGCATTGCTTGGCCAATCTGTGTCGAAATGAGGCATATCTAGATGCTCCGGCATCTCAATCTATTTCATTCACTGAAAAGCAAGGTGATCCTATGGAGAAACATGCTGCTCGTGTTTTTACACCTAAAGTTTTTGCATTGGTGAAGGAAAAAATGGATTCTGTAGGTAATTATGTTATCTAGGAAATACTAGATGGATGTGACAGCACAGCATATGTCATTGGTGTGAAGAACAGAAGGGAGTGGAAGTTCCAGGTTCATTGTGAAATCGATGATGAGTCCATAATAAGTATGATTCGGTGCTCTTGTCGTAAGCTGGAACGTGATGGCATACCTTGTGGTCACATCTTCTGTGTCTTGAAAGTATTGCATGCAGAAAGAATTCCAAGCTGTTGTGTGGTTAGTAGGTGGTCCATGAGAGCAAAAGCTGGATTTCCTCCGATAAGGAAAAGCAGCATGTACGATACTTCTCAAAGCCTAGAGAAGTATCGTGAGCTCCGCAATTTGAGTCATGAGGCATCTCAAAGCATCCCAGTCAGATGAAGGCTTTTTGTACATGAAGCATGTTCTCTGTGAAATAGTTGGCAGCAACGATGCTTCTAATGCCCAAGTAAACAATGTGAGTTGTGGACCAGTGTTGGCGCAGACTTCGCTTGCTGAGTTACCTAATGAGGTCAAGGTTCTAGATCCTGTGGCCGTGAAGTCTAAAGGTGCGCCTAAGAAAGAGAAACGTGTTAAGGCATTCCAGAAAAAACGACGAGAAGTGACTTGTAGCCAGTGTAAGAAAAAGGGTCACAATAGGCGTACATGCTCCGAGTTAAAAGAACTAGTACATACTATTTCCAAAGTTATCCTCTATTTTTTTGTCTGCTTTCCTTGTGAATCTGATGTGAAAGTTCATTTTTGGTTTCATATAATGATTTGTAGGAAATGAAGGATGAAGGATCAGATGCTGGAATGAGGTATTACATAAGGGGAGAGCAACACGCTAATGGTGAGGAGGCTACGTTTGTCACTATGGAATTAAAAACCTGTTTGATTTTAATGATTGTATTCTGTTTTGTATGCCTTAACAGTAGTTATAAGCATATATCTTGAGTACCAAATAAAACTAATTAATACTAAAGTATACAAACATTGACTTTCTTTCTTATCTACTTAGGGCAAGGCTAAGCAAAGCCAAGCAAACGAACCTTCTTAGGATGGTAAGTACAATAAGAGAGAGAGCTGTAAATTTTTTTTCTAACTACTACTTTTGAATTTGTATAGCAGTCCCGTATGCTAAATACATACATGCGCATGGACACATATCTTAAATCTGCGATTGGTGCCCATGACTCTGCTTCGTGGGGCACATCCCCACTGATTCTTTTTTGTGGTTTAACCACTATGGCTATGTATACAGGTTAACTGCTGCTAGGAATTTGGATTACACACCACACCCACACCATACATTGGTTAACGAATTACTGTAATCCATTACACACCTTTTACTGGTTAACTAACTACTTCTTGGCTGCACTGTGTGCAGATTCAGGACTCATTGTGCTGCTGTCATGTACAGTTGTTGCAAGTGATGAACCTCCAGATGCGCCTCGTCCGCCGGCCAATTTTGTCGAGCTTACTGATGACAATGGTGAGGACCTGATACTGATTTGTAGCAGCACCACCAGATGGCTGTCCTAAGGAGGAGCTCGAGCTGATGTCACTACGACTTGAATTCGCATCAGGAGGCTCCTGGCCCTGGAGGTAAAGCCCATTACTTGAATCGTTCTTGTGCAGGTAGAAGTTCCTGCCTCCCACATCTCCAATTTTGTCGTTTTTGTTCAAACCTGTAGGCAAAATGTTTAAAGTGTTACTCTTGGGGTAGGATGGCTCCATTTCCAAGAAAATTTCCACTTTCTGCTGCTACAACTACAAGAAGGGCTCAGGTTCAACCAACCACAAAATGAAAGGTACTATACAAGGGAAGATGGGTCCAAAATCATATTGAAGTCTCAAATTTGAAGTTGATAGCCAACTGGTTATTGGTTGAAACCTGAGCTCCTTTAACAACCAGAGTTACATTGGTACTCCCTCACAGGTCAGAAATAAATGATGGTACTCCCTCACAGGTCAGAAATAAATGATGTTTCTGACCGGAGCATATAACAGTTATAACTGTAAACAGCTCTCAAAGGCCTAACTAACACTAAGAACATATGCCTCATCTTGACACAGTCACACTTGACTGCAAGTTTCCAATAGGCTATAGCTGACCCTGGGCGTAGAAATACAAGATTATTGATTTCATAATCATGCAATGAATCTGGATCTTTTAAAGGTACATCAGTGGGCAAAGGTTTAACTTTATGTATTCTAGGCCAACATATGTGGTTGTGAGCTTGTAACTGCAGAACAAAAATGCAATGGCGTTGGCATCCACACAGTTTTCTGATGCTAAGGAAGTGTCCAGTAGCATGAGCCATTTGTCAATCAGTACATTATTATATAATTTTTGTTTTCCTGACGACCCAAAGCATCGGGGCTAGTTGTATATAATGGACCGAATCAGGAGAACGACAGCCAGAAAAATTTCAGACTTACGACTACATGTATAATTTGGCAGTTAACAATAAAATTGGAAGTACATGATCTCACGTTTTGATGTGCCATTGAAACAAAAGCATGCTTTAAACAGAAGGAATGAGTCTGTCAATTATGAAATAAATAATATAAATGAAACTACAGTTGTCCCATAAATAATCAGCCAAACAATTAAAATACAAATCTATCCAGTGGACAAATAAACATTTCATTTTAGCCTTTTAGGAACGGTCTCTGAGTTGAGATGACTTGAGAACGCCTAAACATGTGGATCACAAGATCAGTAAGATAAGGATGCCTTACTCTGCAGATCAATTTCTCTTCAAAAAGAGGGTAATAATTTCATTATGTCGACATGTTTGGACGAAATCAGAAACCTTAATCGGAATTCCACAGCATCCACAACTATTGGTAGGGATGGAGGGAGCCACACTACAATTACACACTAACATCCAAAATACAAGCACATAGAACCACCAAAACGGTTGGACGCATGCGAGTTCTTACACCAAAATAATGCTTATTAATTAATCCTTGAGAAGAAAAGAAAAGATGATACCCAGTGATACTAATTGTCAGATGAAAGGAAATTTCTTTGATAAAATCAAGCGTACTGGTGGCTTACTCTGAAGGCTGAAATGAGAGTGGTGAAGTTGGAAGCTCTCTGCCGCGGCCGGGTCCAGGCGCGGGCTTCTCCCCTCCCTGGCGTACCTCTCGACGACGGCAGCAATGGCCTCCCCGACGCTGGCGCCCAGCCTGACCATGGCCTTCACAGGGCCGACGCTCCCCTCCACCGTCACGCTCACCACCACCTTCGCCTCCTGCACCGCCGTACCAAACCATTCCCATTCCCATCCGTAAATAAACTACGCAGAGCCGCGAACTAAACAACACAAATTGCCTAATTGGTCTCGGTTAGTTCGCTGGCCGTACCTCCCGGTCCCGGGAGCAGAGCTTGGAGAGGGAGGCGGCAGAGGGGGAGCGACCGAAGACCGACTCCTCCGGGGCGAAGACGTCGAAGCAGGTGTGCGGACGCTCGAGCGGCGGCGCCGGCGGGGACGGCGGGCACTCAAGCTCGTGCTCGACCCCGTGCGGCGGCACGGCGTGGACCCGCGCGTCGCCGAGCCAGAGCGCCGGCTCGGACGCGGAGCGCGCGAGGGCCCGCCTCTTCCCGTCCCGGCGAGTTCGCGTCCGCGACCGCGACGGACCCAGCTGCGGCGCCGCCGCCGCCAAGCCGCTCCCGCTCTTGCGGCGGCGGCGGCGGCGGGACGGAGATGCCGCCGCCGGCGAACGCCCCACCCGGACGCCGGAGAGCCGCGACCGCCCGTTCCTGTTCCTCTGCTCCTGCATCAGCGCGCGCATGCCGTCTCCGCCTGCGTGGGTTGGTTGCGGTGCCGAGATTTCTGGGAGCAGGTGGTGCCTTGAACGAACTGGTGTGTTGGTGGTGTCGTCGGTGCAAATAAAAAAGCTTGCTTTGACCTCGACATTACGGCGATGTCCTTTATGCTTGACGCAACAGAGGGGAGGTGGGAGGAGGAGGAAGCTTCGTGGGGGAGTTGGGAGCATGTGGACTTGTTGCAGTGGGCGGCGGTGCGTAGGTGCGGTTCTTCCGGTCAGGATGTCAGTGAGGCTGAGTCCATGGACCAAGAGCAAGTGCGGGAAAAGCAGAGGGTGGTTTGGGAGGAAACTGCTGGAGAGGGGAGAGGGGGAGACGTCGGATGCTCCGCGTGGTTGAGTGTGGAATGACGATGAGGGGGCAGCGAGGTGCTTCAAATTACAGGATTCTGCCATTGCTTTCGTCAGGGGCAATTTGGGCGCGCAATGGGGAGAGGTTCTTTTGGGCAGCGGGACATGATTCTTCGACAAAAAGTCGCAACCCTACCGACGGCATCTACGCCTTGTTTAGATACCCTTAAAATTCTAAGTTTTTTCACTCTCTCTCTATCACATTATTTTTTAGCTGTTTTTATGGAGCATTAAATGTAGGTAAAAAATAACTAATTACATAGTTTAGTTGAAAATCACGAGATAAATCTTTTGAGCTTAGTTGGTCCACGATTGGACAATATTTACCAAATAAGACGAAAATGCTACTATTCATCGGGTTGAAATTTTTTTCAATCTAAACAAGACCCTACTACTCCTTCCGACGGGGGTGTTTCTTGTCCTACTAAAGTTTTCCCTATCATGTTTTAATCTAGAATATTCAATATAGACTAATTATAAAATTAATTATATAGATTGGGACTAATTTATGAAATAAATCTATTAAGTCTAATTAGGCTCATGTTTAGTCTATCTAATTAATATCTGAATATCCGATGTGACATCTACTAAACTTTAGTCCCTATATCCAAATCTATCGTCTACCTACCCATCTCTATTTATAAATCTATTTTTTTTAAGATTACACGGTACGAACGGCAGACGCTTATAACGCGTACGCACATTCACCCCTATGAACACACACAAACCCTACGTCTATGAACATCTCCGAAGGACTGAGCCAGCAGATCTCGCGGAGACGTCACCGCTGGTGTCTCGCTGTCGAGAGGTACGTCGCCTACCACTGAAAGCATAAAATACCGTTAAATCTTGGAATAAGTCCAGAAAAATGTGAGCACCTGTGTCAAGTCGAGGACTTGAACTTGAGTGAACTGGTTCCACCATAAGAAACCTAACCAACTGATCTATGATCAGTTCGCTATCTATAACTCTATTTAAATATCTCCATCTCTATCTTTATGTATATCTACATCTATATTCGTATATATCTAATATTACAAAGCAAAAATCCCATCTCCTGATTTTTTTCATCCACTTTACCCTAATTATCCGTGCATAGGGATAAAAAACAGTATTAAAATATGTAGCGAAAAAACAATAACAAACAACTATGTTAAGGCTTTGTTTAGTTCGTGAAATTTGGGAATTTGGCTACTGTAGCACTTTCGTTTTTATTTGGCAATTAGTGTTCAATCATGGACTAATTAGGCTCAAAACGTTCGTCTCGTGATTTCCAACCAAACTATGCAATTAGTTTTTTTTCGTCTACATTTAATACTCCATGCACGTATCGTAAGAGTTGATATGATGGTTACTGTAGCACTTTTTGAAAAAAATTTTAGTAACTAAACACAGCCTAAACTCCCGTAATAATATGAAAAACGACATCGGTCTGTATGGGATTTTCCCATACTGCTTTGACTCCTACTCATGCGCATCACTCTTTTTCTGTCTATTGGTTCGTCGTCTCTCATTTAATTTGGAGTTACAGAACCTTATTGGCAATGCACCACTCATGGCCCTAGCCTAGGCAGTGCAGCCGCCACAGGAGGGCTCCTAATGGCTGTTGGAGGGGCGCTTTTACTATTTCGATGAGGCAACTAGCAGTCCGTTTGTTTCGGTTTATACGATCGTGGATTATAAGTTAGAATAGTATTTTTCTCTCACATCAAACCAGCCAGCAGTACCTCTGGCTTATAATCCACGATCGTTTCAGCCGAAACGAACAGGATGTAGATTGCGGGAGCTGTTGTACATGTGTTCGGATCTCAGCAATGTCCGGGCATGGTGGTGCGGTGTGATAACCAGCTAACGAGCGAGGATACGGAGCAATGAGGTGGCAGAGCAACAATACACAACTACAGCAGGGGCATGACAAATATGGTTTAGAGTTGTGATGAAGAGTTGTGGTGTGGTGTACGCTGGGGTCCCAAACCAATCGACCGCTGCCTCTCTCTCTCTCTCTCTCTCTATATATATATATATATATATATATATATATATATATATATATATATATATATATATATATATATATATATATATATATATATATATATATATATATATATATATGGCACAACCCCCCGTACAACGTAACACTCCTTCCGTGCTGTTAGATCAGCCTCCGTGCATGATGGATCTGTGATCACCACGCAAGGCATGGTCAGCCTCGGTGTCATCGTCGCCGGCGGGCGAGGAGAAGCAAGAGGCGGCGCTCATCTAGGACTGCAAGGCCGTCAATGACCTCGACAAGGTTGTGCTCGAGATCCGGGGCAGCTTCCTAGAGGTAACTGTCAGCCACTCCCACAAGTCACTAGGCATGTTCCGGCTGCCGGATCCCAGCGCTGATCCGCGGCGCTTGTTATGGTGTTGTTCAAAGCCCGATTTCTTGGCTGCTGCCCTGGCTTTTTCCTTACCCTATGTTGCATATGTATGTTAATTGTTTAAGACATTTCGGATATATGTTGCAATTGTTTTATCTTGATGTTGCAAAAGTAGATCAGGGGATGTTGCACATGTTGTATATGTTGCAAGTGTTTCAGAAGCATGTTGCGAGCGTTTGTTCAAAATGTTTCATCTGTTCCAGATGTATGTTGCAATCGTTTTTTTGTCTGGATGTTGCATATCACACATATGTTGCAACAGTATGTTCCAAATGTTTCGGCTATTTCAATCTTATATTGCAGCAAGTGGTTTCATGCTGCAAGTCGCAATTTTGGATGTTTCTTGTGTTTCACACATATGTTGGAAGTGCACGTTCCAAATATTTTATTTTTTACAGACGTACGTTGCATATTCAAATATTTTTTACGTACGTTCCTGTAACTCATTTGGTTGGAGCCCTGAGAGATCCTGCCAGGTCCAGGCACCCCAATGAGGTCACCTGGCAGGAGATTAATTTTGGCTGTGATACGCTATCTACTGAAGCGGCTAAATTACGACCGGCCGTAATTTAGCTTATCGCACGCACTTTTCTTTTTTTGGTAAAAGTACAATTATTCTATTTCTTTTTCGGCAAGGATACTAATTAGCGTTTGTTTTTTTTATGGAATGCGGTCAGGGCCAGATGCCGACCACACATTTGCACATCTGTACGTTCACAAAAAAAGACAATTAAGGCCCAGACATATGCTTTTAGGTACTACATATATATGTTCATAAAAAGGCAATGTTTTTCAGAAAAAGAATACATCTCAGAAAATAATACATTTGCATCTGCAGTTTTCCAAAAAACACAACACTATAAATCTAGTCCCACACATTTGCACATCTTCTCTATACTGGCCCTCATCTTCTCTGTACATGGCCTGCATTCCTGCATGTTAAAAAAAAAGATAACATGTGTCAAAAATTTCTTGCTGGTAAGAGATAAAAAAGGATGCTTATGTTCCTGGAGCTTCTACTGGTGATGAGCAGGTTGCTGCTAGTAATGCTGTAGTGGATTCAACTTTTCTAGGCAATTTAAGTGTTATTTATTAGGCAACAATGTCTTCCTAATTAGGCAATTTTTGTATTCTGAAAAAGCAAGTATAGTGTCTGTGTTCATTTGCAACCTACAGCCCCACCCCCAACCCCCAACCCCCGGTTTATTTGCAAAAATACATATCAAACAGAGGCAAAGTGATGATATCAATAACTAGTTTTTGTACAAAAGGCAGACTAATTCAATGGTTGAACAAAAAGGATCATCATAATAGTAGAAAAAAGGAAAAAAGAATGATATGTGAACAATAATATGTCACCTGCATTAGTCAGCACCCCCACTCCCAATCTGCACTTCCCAACTCGAGAAAATGGAATCTCAGGCTTTTCCTAGTCACCTGCGCATGGTTAAAGTCACTTAGAGCATAGAGTAACGCTTGACGATAAAAAAGAGTAGAAATTATAGGCACATTTTTTTGTGTTGGACACAAATAAAATTGCCAGCAGATTATTAATAACTTGCCTGTCTAATGATATTAAATTGCTTAACTAAATTTATATGCACATTTTTCGGTGGTACTGTATTGCACGTCTACACTTTTCATCTAGCCTGCTGCACACTCCACCTTTGTTGTAGGTCACCCTTGCTGCCTTCTCTATCTACAGTAACGTCATGGCAACAGTATGGCAATAAGTATTAGCCGATCTCAGCCCGATACTGCCCAATTGTAGCTAGCGGCTATAGTAGTAGCAGGTGCACTAGACGTGGTCACAGCTTATTTAGCAATGGAAATCAGTTTAATTTGCTGCACCAGCACTCCAGCAAAGGTGTGCTCGTGCTGCTTTCTGTGCTCAAATTCATCTTCTACCTCTAATTGTGAGCTATGAGAGGGTGATTGTAACGTGATAAATAATTAGGCTGAGGCACGAGTACTTACACCATGCCTAAAGAATGTCTAATTGCTAATTATTCAACTCTAAATGCTAATTATTAACACCTCCATAAAACCTAACACCATCTGCATTTTCTTAGGCAATTTAAGTTTTGATTCATTAGGCAACAATGTCTTTCTAAATAGGCAATTTATGTATTCTGAAAAAACAAGTATAGTGTGCTGTGCCATATGTAGTAGACTCGTAGATAAGAAAATGACCAATCACGGGTAGTTATCTTTCACATACACCATATCTAGTAGACTCGTAGATAAGAAAATGACTTGCTACTACTAAACCACAGATACAACAGAATGGTACATGCCAACATACCGAGCCAGCTTGCAAAAATACAAGATACTTCAACTTCTGCACATTGACCGGTATCTCATTAGCAATGTCACGGTCGATGATGGGGAAGAATGGTGGCCAGTTCTCCTCCATCGACACGCTAGCTGCACCAAAAAAGAAAAATTGGGGGGAATGCCAATGATCACACACACTAGTAGAGAAACGACTTTCAGTTCACACCTTTAGTCTCGGTTGTGTTGTGGTTCGGTATTAATGTGAGCATTAGTCCCAGGTCTAAATTTTATAGGCACCGAAGGCACTTTTTATCCTGGGCGGGGCGTTGCTTGGCGGCGTCA